ATTAAGTTTAATAATTTTAGATTATGAATTTCTAGTTATTATAATAAAGTTCGTATATTTCAATTTTCATAAAAAAATAAAGCTTTAAATTAACAGTCTTATGAATGTTGGAAAATTTAGTTTCATGTTTAATGCAAATGGAAAGAGAGTTTTTTTCTGGTAGTGTGACGGGAATGTCTGTAATTAGTGATGACTAATGACATTGTCATCTCAGAGGAGTTAAGTTATTTAATATTAAACATCCCTGGGTTATTTAATACCTACTGAACGATAAGCTCTCCATTAAAATTTTGTATCATAATTTTAAAAATATAAATGAACAGGAAAAATATTGATATAGGTAGCTGGTCGAAAATTGGGTATCGGTAACGGCAAAAAAAAAAAAATGATATCGTTCCTCTCTAATTTCAATAGTTTTTAACACATTGTATTTAAGAAAATATAGCAATATCTCCAGGAGTTATTGAAAATTTAAGAGAATCATTACGTTGAGAAAATTTAAAAATTATCAATACACATAAAAGCATACAGAATTTGGGATAAACTTTACAAAAAAATTTTTTTCAACACGTAAGCCGCTTCCCACCTAGGCATTGTGGCTCAAAAAAGAAAGAAACACTTTCTACATCATTCAACACTTTCAGCATCATTTACTCATAATCACAGTCTTTGCAGAGGCTCCCAGATAAAACAGTTTATCCCAATATCCCAAACCTCTCCTTTAAAGTGCAAGCACTGTACTTTCCACCTCCAGGACTCAAGTCCGGCTTACCTGTTACCCTGAATTCCTTCACAAAATATTACCCTGCTTATACTCCAACAGCTCGTCAGGTCCCAAAAACCATTCGTCTCCATTCACTTCAAACACCCTCACACATGCCTGCTAAATGTCCAAGGCCCTTGAAAACAAAACCTCTTTTACCCCCTCCATCCATCCTTTCCTAGGACGTCTCCTACCCCTCCTTCCTTCCACTACAGATTTATATACACTCTCCAGGTCGTCTTGTTTTGCTCTAACCTCTCTACATGACTAAACCACCTCAACAACCCCTCTTTAGCCCTCTGACTACTTTTAGTAACTCCACATCTCCTAATTTCCACACTACAAATTTTCTGCATAATATTTACACCACACATTGCCCTTACACACGATATCTCCACTGCCTCAACCTCCTCCAATCTGCAGCATTGACAACCCATGCTTCACACCCTAATGCGAGTGTTGGTACCATTATACTCTCGTACATTCCATTTTTTGCATCCATGGATAACTTTTTTTTTGTCTCCACTCACCTTTTTTCTTTCATCAGTTCTATGGTTAACTTCATCCTTCAAAAACCCATCTGCTGACAAGTCCATTTTTTCTTTCCCTAAATCCTTTGATACCCTCATCACCTTACTCTTATCTATGTTCACTTTCAACTTTCATCCACTACAAACCCTCTCAAACTCGTCCACTACCTTCGCAACCTCTCTTTAGAATCTCCCATAAGCACAGTATCATCAGCAAAAAGGAACTGTGTCAACTCACATTTTGTATTTGATTCTTCATAATTTAATCCCACCCCTCTCCCCAACACCCTAGCATTTACTTCTTTTATAACCCCGTCCATACGTTAAACAACCATGATGACATCATACATCCCTGTATAAGGCCTTTTACTGGGAAGTAGTCTCCCTCTCTTCTACACACCCTAACCTGAACCTTACTATCCTCATAAAAACTCTTTACAGCATTTAGTAACTTACTACCTATTCCATATACTTAAAACATCTGCCACATTGCTCCCTTATCCACTATCATATGCCGTTTCTAAGTCCATAAATGCATTGAAAACTTCCCTACCTTTATCTAAATGCTGTTCACATGCATGCTTCAATTTTAACACCTGCTCAACACATCCCCTACCCATTCTAAAGTCTCCTTGCTCATCTGCAATCCTACTCTCTGTCTTACCTCTAATTCTTTCAGTAATAACCCTACCATTCACTTTACCTGGTATACTCAGTAAACTTATTCCCCTATAATTGTTACTCTTTTGTCCCCCTTCCCTTTATATAAAGGACTATACATGCTCTCTGCCAATCCTTAGGTACCTTTCACTCTTTCACAGATTTATTAAAAAAAAAATACCAACGACTTCGACACTATATCCTCCCCTGCTTTTAACATTTCTCTCATGATAACGTCAGTTCCAGCTGCTTTATCCCTTTTCATTCTACGTAATGTCTCACGCACCTCCCCCACAATCACATCCTTCTCTTCTTCACTCCTATAAGATGTTATACCTCCCTGGTCAGTGCATGAAATTACTGCCTCCCTTTCTTCATCGACATTTAAAAGTTTCTAAAAATATTCCCTCCATCTACCCAATACCTCCAGCTCCCCATCTACTAACTGCCCTACTCTGTTTTTGACTGACAAATCCACTCGTTCCCTGATCTTTCTTAACCTGTTTGTCTCACATAATTTTTTTTCTTATTCTCAGCAAAATTTCTTGGGAGTGTCTCTCCCTCCCTATTATCTGCTCTCCTTCTGCTCTCTCTCACCACTCTCTTCACCTTTCTTTTACTCTCCATGTATCTTGCCCTTCTTATATCACTTCTGCTTTGTATAAATCTCTCATATGCTACCTCCTCTTTCATCACACCCTTTACTTCATCATTCCACCAATCACTCCTCTTTGCTCCTTCACCAATCCTCCTATAGCTACAAACTTCTGCCTACATTCTAATACTGCATTTTTAAAACTATCCCATCCCTCTTCAACCCCCCCCCCCCACTACCCATTCTTGCACTAGCTCACCTCTGTGCCAATAGTTGCTTATATCTCACCCTAACTTCCTTCTCCCTTAGTTTATACACTTTCACCTCTCTCTTACTTGCTGTAGCCATTTTCCTTTTATCCCATCTACCTCTTACTCTAACTGTAGCTACAACTGAATAGTGATCCGATATATCCGTTGAGCCTCTATAAACATGTACATCCTGAAGCTTACCCATCAACCGTTTATCCACCAATATATATTCTAAGAAACTTCTTTCATTATGTGCTATATCATGTCTTGTATATTTTTTTTATCCTACTTTTCATAAAATACGTATTACTTATTTCCAAAATTTTTTCTACACATTGTTCAATTAAAGGCTCCCCATTTTCATTTACCCCTGGCACCCAAATTTATCTACTACTCCCTCCATAATATTTTTACCCACTTTAGCATTGAGATCCCCCAACCACATGTATTCTCTCACTTGGCTCAAAACTCCATGCATTCTCTCAAGATTCACAAAATCTCTCTCTCTCCTCTACACTTCTCCCTTCTCCAGGTACATAAACACTTGCTATAACCCACTTTTCACATCCAACCCTTATTTTACTCCATATTATCCTTGAATCTATACATTTATGTTTTCTATTTTCATGCCATACTTATCCTTCAACATTATTGCTACTCCTTCTTTAGCTCTAACTTTATTGGAAACCTCTGACCTATTCCCATTTATTGCTCCCCAATGACACTCTCCTACCCCCTTGAGCTTTGTTTCGCTTAAAGCCAGAACATCCAGCTTCTTTTCATTCATATAACACCCACAATCATCTTTTTTGACATATCCATTATAAATATATCCACACTGATCAATCCTACCATGGTTTTAAAACAAAATCTCACTCTCTCTACGGCTTGACAAAACCGCAGGAGAGCGAAATGTTGCCACAATAAAACATCGCACGAGTTCCACATGTGACAAAGCTTAAAAGAATTTAATCTATCATACTGAAACCTACTGGGACACAAACCTTGGTCCATTTATGTGGCAAGTCCAGTTCTATACCATTCTGCTAATTTAATGATTTTCCAAGCAACACTTATGTGATATTGGGACATCACCTTCACCACCCATGACATTTCTGTGTCATCGCACACACCTCACAGTTTATTTATACATTTATTTTCATAATTCCTATTAGGAACACAGGTGTAGATATGGCCTGCACACCTTGCCGTAATGCGATTACAACTTGGGAACAAACAAAAACACAGCAGAGAATAAATGAATTATATTTCCTTCACCAAACAAGCTGGTATTTACAAAATATTATAACGTATATACAGTATTTATACTATGTACAATGAGGCAAAACCAGGCATATGACACGGTGATCAGTGAGGCAAATGGAAGCACAAGACACGGTAAACCGTGAGCGACCAGCAGTGAAGGTATGTTACCAAAGTTATTTCACGAGTGTACCACATCGTTTCACAGCTTTGGCGGGCTTCCTTCTATTGGCTTGGTGAACCGAGGTACTGGTATAACGATGGGGGCACCTGTGACCTTTAAACCCTTAGCACCTGGTTCGCTGGTTGGGAGGCATGCATATATGAGTGTGTGACATACGTTGAATAAATTGCAACATACTCTTAGCATGCCAAACGTAATATAGCCTATAAATCTAAGATACGTCGTAATAAATGACAGTGAATAAATAAACTGATGAATGAGCGGGGACTCGAACCATGGGCAATGTATGCTGCAGACTCAGCACTACACTATTCAGCAATGAGGGTTACAATAGGGTGAGTTTACAGCCAGCGTTTCTGTGAATAGATGTACCATGAAAGTTATGGGGGTGAGGGATGGTGCCGTAGCTTTGTACTTGGAGGCGGCTGGTGTAACCTTACCGTAGATGTGCTTGTTGTAAAATCATCCAGTTGTAACCTCCGTGGACGAATGGTGCAACGCAACACCACACTTCGAGTCCTCATCTGTTTCTGTTATTCACTAACAAATGTTTATTACGGTTTATCTTGGGTATACGTAGAAAATATATACCTAGTAACGTTATTATTATTATTATTATTATTATTATTATTATTATTATTATTATTATTATTATTATTATTATTATTATTATTATTATTATTATTATTATAACTATATCTGGATTAATCATTGCCACTGAATTGCAACTAAAACCTAACTAATTTAAATTATCCAAATAAAAAAATCCACACAGGACTGCAGGGAGCCATGGCCGCAAGACTCAACATTTTTTGGCAGTTATCTCTTCTGCTGGGAGCTCTTGCTCAGAATACGGTCGTAGAGAAAAGTACACTGACTGAGCCCGCTGCTATAATGAAGACAATGCTCACCGTTAAGACCACACCCGAGACTGGGACGAAGCTCAAAGCTGAATTCACACCAAATCCTGACACTACACCCGAGGATGACATCTTGAAAAAGGTTGAGGTCACGCTAAAAGAGAAAATACTGAGCAAGCTGATGAAGCAGAAGCTGATGCAACATCTTCCCTGCTCTGATGGTAACTAATCACCCTCATGTACGCCTAGTTAATAATAATCTTGTATGAGTGGGTTTGACTAGTACCTGAAATATTGAAGCAATTTTTGGGTTACTCTGGGACAGTGTTGCACAGTTGGGTAGGGTGGGAATAGTTGGTTTTGAGAAGGATCTGCCTAGTATGGGCCAGTAGGCCTGTTGCAGAGGTCATCGATTCTTATGTTCTACTGCACTTTATACTACTGCACCTGTCTACGTGGCATTGGTACAGTCGTCGACTGTACCACTGCCACGAATGTCTTCTGATCACGAACAACACCTAGCTCTTCTGGGCGCGTGATCTTTGTAAGAGATCAGTGTTTGTATATATATATATATATATATATATATATATATATATTATATATATATATATATATATATATATATATATATATATATTTATAATATATATATTATATATATATATATATATATATATTATATATATATATATATATAATATATATATATATATATTATATATATATATATATAATATATATATATATATATATATATATATATATATATATATATATATAATATATATATATATATATATATATATATATATATATATATATATATATATATATATATATATATATATATAATATATATATATATATATATATATATATATAATATATATATATATATATATATATATATATATATATATATATATATATATATATATATATATATATATATATATATATATATATATATATATATATATATATATATATATAATATATTATATATTTATATATATATATATATATATATATGCAATAAGATCACAGTAAACAGGTGATTTCAAAATATGCAAAACAACCACTCTGAAAGAATAGAGAAATTCCAAGCGCTTTCGTGACTACTCACGAAAGCGCTTGGAATTTCTCTATTCTTTCAGAGTGGTTGTTTTGCATATATATATAATATAATATTATATATATAATATATATAATATATATATTATATATATATATATATATATATATATATATATATATATATATATATATAAACATCGTCTCTACGTCCGCAGCAGGATCCAAGATAAGTATGGGCGCTTAGCCGAAGCTAAGCGATGTTACCCCATACCTCCGGGCACCATACCTCCGGGCACCATACCTCCGGGCACCATACCTCCGGGCACCATACCTCCGGGCACCATACCTCCGGGCACCATACCCCCTGGCACAAAGCTCGTTTTGAAAGTTATTTCATCAAATCCTGCCACATGTAGAGGACAACGAAAGAGATTTGAAATATTTAACAATTCGCAAACAGGCGAAATTGTTTACAAACATTTTCTCTACTTCCACGAGCTTGGTGCCCGGGGGTATGGTGCCCGAGGGTATGGTACCCGGGGGTATGGTGCCCGTGGGTATGGTGCCCGGGGGTATGGTGCCCGGGGGTATTTTGCCCGGGGGTATGGTGCCCGGGGTTATGGTGCCCGAGGGAATGGTGCCCGGGGGTATGGTGCCCGGGGTATGGTGCCCGGGGGTATGGTGCCTGGGGGTATGGTGCCCGGGGGTATGGTGCCCGTGGGTATGGTGCCCGGGGTTATGGTGCCCGAGGGTATGGTGCCCGGGGGTATGGTGCCCGGGGGTATGGTGCCCGGGGGTATGGTGCCCGGGGGTATGGTGCCCGAGGGTATGGTGCCCGGGGGTATGGTGCCCGAGGGTATGGTGCCCGGGGGTATGGTGCCCGGGGGTATGGTGCCCGGGGGAATGGTGCCCGGGGGTATGGTGCCCGGGGGTATGGTGCCCGGGGGTATGGTGCCCAGGGTTATGGTGCCCGAGGGTAAGGTGCCCGGGGGTATGGTGCCCGGGGGTATGGTGCCCGGGGGAATGATACCAGGGGGTATGGTACCCGGGGGCATGGTTCCCGGGGGCATGGTGCCCGGGGGTATGGTGCCAGGGGGTATGGTACCCGGGGGTGTGGTGCCTGGGGTATGGTGCCCGGGGGTATGGTGCCCGGGGTTATGGTGCCCGAGGGTATGGTGCCCGGGGGCATGGTGCCCGAGGGTATGGTGCCCGGGGAATGATGCCAGGGGGTATGGTACCCGGGGGTATGGTGCCCGGGGGTATTGTGCCCGGGGGTATGGTGCCCGGGGGGTATGGGGTCCGGGGGTATTGGGTAACATTTCGCCCATACTTATCTTGGGTTTAGCTCAGTGGTAAAGTACTGTGGACTCTGATGCAGAATTAAGAACATAAGCACATAAGAACATAAAAACATAAGAAAGAAGGAACACTGCAACAGGCCTACTGACCCATGCGGAGCAGGGCCATGTCCCCTCCCCCAGATTGGCCCAATTACCCACCTACTCTGGTCACTTGACTAGCACAAGCTAGTCGGGTCCAACTCACACCCACCCACACCCACTCATGTATTTATCTAACCTATTTTTAAAACTACACAACGTTTTAGCCTCAATAACTGTACTCGGGAGTTTGTTCCACTCATCCACAACTCTATTACCAAACCAGTGCTTTCCTATATCCTTCCTGAATCTGAATTTTTCCAATTTGAAACCATTGCTGTGAGTCCTGTCTTGGCTGGAAATTTTCAGCATGCTGTTTACATTCACTTTATTTATTCCTGTTTTCCATTTATACACCTCGATCATATCCCCCCTAATTCTGCGCACGAATATATATATATATATATATATTATATATATATATATATATATATATATATATATATATATATATATATACATATATATATATTATATATATATATATATATATATATATATATATATATATATATATATATATATATAATATATATATATATATATATATATATATATATATATATATATTCGTGCTGAATACGTAAAATTGGTCAGTTAGCAAGAACTCATTTAAAATTAAGTCTTTTCTAATTTTTTCTCTTAATACGTTTAAAAAGTTACTCTTTTTATTTATGTTATTGTTAAAATTCATAATTTTGTACTAAAAGAACCTTAGAAAACTTACATAACCTTATTAAAATAAGCGCAATTTAATTTAGCCTAACCTAACTAAATATATTTTTAGATAAATTTAGTATAATTTAATAATAAACATACACAATGAAATTTATCTTTTTTTCTTAGGTTCAGAATGATTTTTGCGAAATTATTGCATAAACAAATTTTCGCTTGCCTGATTCGACAAGAAGAGCGTTGCTATTTAAGCCAAAATCACAAGTTATACCTATTCGTCATCACACACACACACACACACACACACACACACACACACACACACACACACACACACACACACACACACACACACACAGGATCAAATGGAAGGACAAGCGCACCCCCCAGAAACACCTGCACAAGGACTCCAGCCACGACACCCCCAAGGCAACTGAACAATCCAAACCAACCATCACACACCGATCCCTCTGTTTCCACCCCCACACCACAGTTACAGTATTAGAACAGAAGTTGAAGGTTTGGTACACAAATGCAGATGGATTAACGAATAAACATGAGGAATGGCAAGAAAGAATCAATGAGAAGTCCCCAGACATCATAGCAGTTACAGAAACAAAACTCATGGAGACAATAACAGATGCAATCTTCCCAACAGGATACCAGATCATGAGGAAAGATAGAAGGGGCAGGGGGGGAGGTGGGGTTGCTCTGATCGTAAAAAACAGATGGAAATTCGAGAAAATGGAAGGAATAGATGAGACGGGAGAAAGAGACTACATAGCAGGTACACTTCAGTCTGGGGAACACAAAGTGGTCATTGCAGTGATGTATAATCCACCACAGAACTGCAGGAGGCCAAGAGAGGAATATGAAGAGAGCAACAGAGCAATGGTGGACACACTTGCTGAGGTGGCAAGAAGAGCTCACTCCAGCAGAGCAAAGTTGCTGGTTATGGGTGATTTCAACCACAGGGAGATTGACTGGGAAAACCTGGAGCCACATGGGGGTCCCGAAACATGGAGAGCCAGGATGTTGGACGTGGTGCTGGAAAACCTCATGCACCAACATGTTAAGGACACTACCAGAGTGAGAGGGGAGGATGAACCAGCAAGATTGGACCTTGTGTTCACCCTGGGCAGCTCAGACATTGAGGACATCAAGTATGAGAGTCCCCTAGGAGCTAGCGACCACGTGGTTCTGTGCTTTGAATACATAGTAGAGCTGCAAGTGGAGAGAATAACAGGAGTAGAATGGGAAAAGCCTGACTATAAAAGAGGGGACTACATAGGGTTGAAGAACTTCCTGCGGGAGGTCCAGTGGGACAGAGAACTGGCAGGAAAGCCAATAAATGAAATGATGGAATATGTAGCAACAAAATGCAAGGAGGCAGTGGAAAGGTTCATTCCCAAGGGCAACAGTAACAATGGGAAGACCAGAACAAGCCCCTGGTTCACCCGACGGTGTAAGAAGGCAAAAACAAAGTGCAATAGAGAATGGAAAAAGTACAGAGGGCAGAGAACACACGAAAATAGGGAGATCAGTCGCAGAGCCAAGAATGAGTACGCACAGGTAAGGAGGGAGGCCCAGCGACAGTATGAAAATGACATAGCATTGAGAATCAAGACTGACCCGAAACTGTTGTATAGCCACATCAGGAGGAAGACAACAGTCAAAGACCAGGTGATCAGATTAAGGACAGAAGGTGGAGAACTCACAAGAAATGATCAGGAGGTATGCGAGGAGCTGAACAGGAGATTTAAGGAAGTTTTTACAGTAGAGACAGGAAGGGCTGTGGGAAGACAGCACAGAAGGGAACATCAAGAGGGAATATACCAACAAGTGTTGGATGACATACGAACAACTGAGGAGGGGGTGAAGAAGCTCTTAAGTGACCTTGACACCTCAAAGGCGATGGGACCGGACAACATCTCCCCATGGGTCCTTAGAAAAGGAGCGAGATGCTGTGTGTGCCTCTAACCACAAATCTTCAACACATCCCTTGAAACTGGGCAACTACCTGAGAA